TATACATAAAGTCATAAACAAATAATAGTATATTTACGTTTGTATTTTTCTTCAAACATATATATTAATTATAATATATATTTATTAGTTTCTTTACAGTCAACAAGGATTGTGGTTAACTGTTGTTAAAAGTAAAAAATTCAACAACAGGGGTGAGTACAAGTAGCAGACAAAGAAAATATACGATTCCACTTGACTTCTACCGACAGGTTGGGGGATGAGGGAGGTGGGAGAAGAAAGAAGGGAAGAAGAAAGGGTAAAGGGGTGGGTGGGTACGTGCAAAATGTATTTGGCTTGTTTGTTTCCATCGTTGGAAAAGATCATTTAAAGTTCATCGACCTCTCTTTTCTTCTTCTGCTACTTGTTTGTTATCAACGTTAACCAATTCAAAATTATATTTAGATTTTTTTTGTGTGTTTTTTTTTAACAGAAATAGAACAAATCTATTCTATTTCTTAACCTTTCGTGAAAAAAAAATCTCGAATTTTTAATCGTTATTCTTATTGGTCTGTTTTTATTGTTAATTTTTATTCGAAAAGGAAAAAAGAATAAAATTGATAAATAATTTAAAAATAATCTTACCCAGTCTTTAAAGATGAAGCCTAAAACACCGGCAGTCATCTCCATTAGCAATAATAACGCCAAAAATATGGCATACTGTAAAATAAATAATATTAATTATGATTTCATTTAATGATACGAGTTTAATATTTCAAATCAAATATAATTATACTCTGTCGTATCATTGGAATAAAATAAAAAATTGATTTATATAGATAGATATAGATAGAGAGAGATTAACAATAAATTTAATATAATATTTAAACAAATAAACGTATATAATATATAGTATCATATGATACGTGATTTTAAATGCATTCGATGATAACAATATTTTTATTTTCATTAGTTTTTATCATAATGTTATAAAAGATTAAAAAAATCAGATTAATATAGATATTTTAAGATTTAATTTTGTAAAATGTTTATAACGAATTAATGGCGATATTAATTTCGAAATATTTGCATAAATAATACTTTACACATGTATATATAAATAAAGAAGAGAAGAAAAAAAAAGAAAAAAAAAAAATAAATGAGAGAGAATATGTGTGGAATAAATTATTAGACGATCGAAAAAAATGAATCTCTCATGAAATATTAATTCTAATTAAATAACCATGGTGTATGAGTACTCACTGCTGCTAGGAGGCACGTATTTTCCCTGAGTGCACCGACACACCCCGTAAATCCGATGATAAATGTCACTGTACCTATGTATATATAATAAGAAAGATATTATCGTTAACTGTCACACACACATATACAATAATGCTAAATAGAATTGACGTTAGAATTATTCTTTTGATGTTACACCGTAAAATAATTAAATTTAATTTATCTTTGTGTGTGTTTATACCAATCTCATTTTTCCAATTTGATTCTTCAACGATAATGAATATTTTTATTTTTCATGTTATACGTAAAGAATATAAATGAATACAATTTTTATTTAATTGTAATTTAAAAAAACAAAAAAAGGGAAACCCTACGAAGAAAATATAAAAAATAAATTTCGATATAATTTCAATTGATTTTTCTCGTTTAATTATTATTTCTTATTATATTATTAATATTTAATACTCAATCTTTGGATTTGAGATTTGATGATTAAATATAAAAGTAGAAAAAGTTTAGAATTAATAAAAAACGTATAGAAACAAATTCGTTAACAGTTAAAGTTTAGTATTTTGTTCGTTTAATATTATTTCAGATTATATTGAAACAAATGATACGTATTATACAATATATATATTTTATTTGCAAACATTT